GACAGATGTGACGTGAAATCGAGGGGACCAGCCGTATATAATGGATGGGGAAGCTCGAGGGAGAGATCCGAGGAGAATGTGACAGGCTGTTCGGTGTGACCAGCAGGAATGGACGGCGGTCGTCGGAAGCAAAGGCGTGGCCAGTCAACAATGATCAAACCAAACTCGAAGCCGAATTTGACGAGTCGGTCGTCGTGTAGTGAGGGAGGTGGACGAAGGAATGGAATGGGGGAAATTAAGAAATAAGAGTTAATACAGAGCAGAGAAGCGAAACATGGAAACAGGGAAAGAAGACGGCTCGAGATCGGAAGGAGAAACAAAGGCGCAATGACGGCAGCAGAGAGAAAGAGCGAAGACTGTCGAGAAGAATAAAAGTAGGGCCGTTCGAGGAAAGTGGCGATGGGAAGTGTGATCGGCACGACGCCTTTGGCTTTGGTGGTGGATTTGAGAAAGTTGGAGTTGGTAGTGTGGGTAAAATACTCGTCGTATTGGAAAGCGCCAGAGAACCGCCCAGCACGCCTTGAAAAAGAAGGAGCGACCAAGCGAAACCAAGCGGGTAGAAGTGCAATCCTGATACTTTTGACGGCCAAGGATCCACTGCTCGCGGGTCGAGGCTGCCCAGGTTTGGAGGAGGCACAAGAGAATGTTCCTTGAGCTCTTTCCCTGTTGAGCAACGAAGTGGACTCGTGAATCCGACAGGTTGCACGTTGTCCTTCCCTATTTCGAAATGAGAGGAGAGCAGAAAGGGAAATTACGGCAAAGGGAGAGAGATACGGTGGGATTTCGTGACATTCAGTCCGCCTAGGGAAAGGAAGAAAGGACGAAAACAGCAGGTGCGATGTATTTCAAGGAAACGGGCGGCAGAGGCGGTCTCTTCTGTGGCGTGCAGCGCCCCCTATCTTCTGTTTACGAAAGCCATTTGGGGGTGTCACAGAAGCACCCAGAAGAGGTAGGGCTTGCAATCCAGAAGCACGCAATGGCCCAGATGGCGGCAATGGAAGAACACAACAGACAGGAAGGACAGCGGGCGGGGAGGCGGGATGCTGGCGCCGGCTAGTGGACGGCGAAAGGACAGTTAAAAAGGGGAAATGGGCGTTCATGTCGTCATACCGCTGTCAGCATTTTGGCAAACGGCCGGGCCAGGTTAGCGGGCGACGTCTGAGGCGAGTGACGAGCAAGCCGCCCCCACGAGACCCTGTGAGCCAACGAAGCAGCGAGGCACTACCAGCCTGCTGACAGAGCAGACCTTTCCAGTGGCCAGTTTACAAAAGCACACGGGCGGCATTCGGGTGAGGCCTTTGGTTGCAGCAAAAAATATATGACTTCGGATGCGAAATGTATTATTTGTCTGCGCCGAAGAGGAAATCAACTTCGCGAAGTGAGTGAAAGACAAGCGTCCTACAACTTCCCGGAGACGAGAATGCAATGGTGTTACAGGTGGCTGGACCAGTCCCCAAAATGCACTGTAGTTTAGTGACTAGGTCCCTATGATACAGGCTTTTGCGGAACATTGCTTTCGAATCAAACGCCACGAAACCAATTGCAATTGAAACGCGACAGGACCGACCAGGACCAGCATCCGACTGAGTGAAACTCAAAGAGCAACAGGACAACAGGAGAGCGAAATGCCTGCCAGCATACACCATACTCCGTATGTTCCCAAAATAGGACAGAGTGGCAGAGCTCGACTGCGGACCGACAGAAAATACAGGGTGGCCAGACAGACGACGATCCGGAGGTTCTAGATGCACCGGAGGAGTAAAACATCGCCGATACCTGGCCATTTCATGCCTGCATAGCGCCAAAACCACGTCATAGGTACCTAGGTGCCACTACGCTGAGGGATCTTTTGAGTCTTTTTGTGCTGTGCGAGAAAACTGTGCGAGGCCAAGAGGAACATCTGGGTGCTTTGATTTGTCCGGCGTAAGATTCAAAGTCTGTGCAAGCCACAGCCAGTTACCCTTTTATTTTCGGATGGGGTGCGTTTGGCCATGGGGTTTAATTGCCGCATTTGGTTGACTTGCCCCTGCCGTGGTAGAGGGGACACTGCAAGTCCCAGGGAGCAGCACAACCGGGTGGTCTGGAGATCAGGGTCCCTTCCTCCCCGGAGTTTTTAAGGACCCCATGCCCTAACGAGTTGCCCACCCGGCACCCCAGCCCAACTGGTAATCTACCTGCATGAATGGCGATGCATCTCATCCCAGCCTCCCTGCTCTGCCTCGGGGTCTTGCTAGCTGCGTCCCAGGCAGACTGAGTTAGAGCTGGGCGACTGCACTCGGCGGGGGGTTTCTTTCGTAGTTCGCAACTACCCATATGACTTGTCACACAACTCACACCACAATTCAAGAGAGTCTTGGTAAAAAGGGAGGTCGACACCATTAAAAGCCAGAGCATTGGAGCGCGAAGTTGTGAGAACGAGTGTGGGGGTCGGGACTGCACACTCCCCGTTTTCAGTGCAGAAGAGCCCAAAAAAAAATCACCGGCGTCGCCAACGGGTAAAGCGGCTTTCGAATAGGGGACTGCGCTAGCCCTCGCTTGGGCGACAAAGACGGCGAGGACGGCTACAGAGTCGGTGTGGAGCGCACTACCAGTTAGTGGGCAGAGTCATCATAACCGCTGCGGCTAAAGCTGTCGCGCAACCTTGGACCGCCCGTTTGCCTATTCACCGCCCTCTCAACTCTGGCAGACAGGTGGAAGGTCCAAACCCCCAGAAAATGTTGGAAACCCGTACCAAAACTTGGCCAACTCAGGCCATTTTGGGAAGTTCTGGACCCTGACAGAACGCCCTAGCGGCACAGGAAATGTGCGCCCCCCACCCCCCCTCCTCCCCTCTTTCTATCTTTGCTGTCCAAGAAAGAAACTAGCCAATCCTGTCAACTTCGACCAGAGTTTGCCCTGCGTACAGAACCAAATCGAGACAAAAGTGATGGAAACACACACAATATGTACGCCAGACGAGTTTTTATACATTCTTGTCACGAAGTTCGGTTGTACACAAAGTCAGTAGCAAGCAGTGTCAGTATTTGGAAGAACTGGTAAAAATGGACAACCAAGTACGAAATACACCGTATACATTTTATTTTAGTTTTAAAACTACGTCGTGCGTCCTCATAAAATGATTGTGTTCATGAAATAATAGTCTAAGCATACCCAGTCATAACACTGTCAGTCTAGAAGTATTTTCAATGTGAGTTTATTTGACACAGTAACCATGGAATCGTAGTTAAAAAGGACGATACTCCTGGATTGTAGTTCATACGCGTCACATTCCATAGTTGCCATTTATGACAAACGTCTCCCCCAAGTCACTCGTCACGAACTCTTCCCTTCGCGCAACCAACAAGCACTATTTGGTTTGTCCGAGGATGCAAGTTTTCGACACGGTTACGAGATTGTCGTCCCAAGACCGCCCCGCCGTCCTTCTTTTCGTCGGTTTTGACCATCTACGACCCTTTTCGACCAGTCCAGACGGCCTTGGCACGTTCGTCCAAAGACAACAGGGAGCCACGGTGAATGGCACATTCGTACTTCATTGGAGTACTTCCGTATTCCGCGAATTTTGCCAGGAAGATAAAGGAGGCATTGTACCATCCACACAGTATTCGTCCGAAAGCTACCCCCTTTCCCCCGTGTCCTTTTTGGATGCGCAAACAAGGCCCAGCTTTTCGGTTTGTTGGAATGGTGCGAAGCAATATAGGCAATGCATCTCATCGTCTCGCGCTCCGTAGACAGTTCGCACCTCCCCCGAGCTGCAAAAGTGCCAGCTACCTGAGATATACCTTACTCTCTGAACAAAGGTGATTCTACGTATCGTATTGCATCCCGCAATGTAAACGAGAATTGTTACCACAAAAATATTCAGGCTTAGCGACGATTTTTCTTCTGTTAAATACTATTTTGGACTCTTATCTTTTTGGTCTAATTTTTCCTCTTATGCACAACGGAGACCTCCGTCCTTCGTATAAAGGCTCTGAAGGAATAAATACACGTATAAAAAAGTACCTAAGCCTACCATCGCACTTCCCAGAGTCTGTTCGGCACGTTGAAAACGAATTTTAGTTTCGTGGCGGTGGCGTTTTTAGTGTGCTAAAAAGGTACGACATACTTGTCTTACATCAGATTACAGTCAACACATAGCCGACGACGTCATGGCCACGTGCCACAGGCCTAAAGCGGCAAACTGGCCCATACAAGAGACATAGAGCGCGCAACAGTGTGCTCAGCTCAGCTTCGCCCTCCGTAAACGGGAAAATACGTCTGGTTGCCACCTCCCGCTTTACTTTGTACTTGCCGCTGGCCGACTCGAGAGCCCCGTGGAATGCGAGGCTGAGTTTGTCTCGTGATATATTAAGACAATCGCTCACGGCTTTGGAGGCCTTGCCGCAGCCAACACCCGACACTATCCCGACCCAGTATTATCTGCGCCCACTTTTGCCGTCCACCTCCGGGCCTCCGAGCGAACGCAAATCTACCGGCAGCCTCGCCGGGCGATGTGCGACCGTAGAGCCGAGCACCAACCATATTTTGATCTGCTTTCATATTTCCACAGCATTAGTTCATCGTTTTGGCCGTCGCTGCTCTCCGATGGTGCGCTTGCGTTCGGGGTACACGTAGTAGGCTGTCATCTGCTATCAAGTGTCGAGGTTTCATCAGGGAAACATGCAAGGAACCTGCACTACAGAAGAGCGAGACGCGCCTTTCCGGGGTGCATTGTTTGTATGGGGGAAGACAATGGACAAGTGCCTGAATGGAGTTTGTCGTGCAGTCTCGACATATTGACAAGTCAAGGCAACCGGCTCGTTTCGACACGGCTGAAATCAAAAGAGGTCGAGGTTGCGAGCCGTTCTTGACACATGAGCCTCGATAGCAGACCTCAACGCGCCGATTCAGCCAGTCGTTTACGTTTGCGACAGCGATATCTCTCATTTCATTGCATGTTCACAATAGAGCAGCGGCTGCAAAGGACGATAGCGGCAAGAAATAAACGGAATCAACAAGCAATGGCTGGCAGCCGCAAATACGAAATCGCGGCTGCGCGCGACAAGGCCATCGTCGCCGCCCAGGGTATTTTTGATAGGTGTTGTCTTTCAACCAAGGAAACGGCAAAACTTATAAACTAGTCCTAACCGATGCCGCCAGATGGAACCTGATCGTGAACCATGTAGACTACCAGGGCTTTGAGCGCCAAGTCATGCGCATCGGCAAAGTCGTTGACACGTCGCTCAGCCCGCCGTCGTACCTGCTCCCTGTACATTGACAGCCAGTACAGTCATGCACGGCGGCGGTTACGGCGTTATCCTCGATATGATGACGACCACTGCCCTTGGGCCTCTTGCTAAACCTGGCTTCTAGGACTTCCTCGGCGATGTGTCTCGTACCATCAACATCAGCTACCTTAAACCATTCCCGCTGAACACGACAGTCCTCGTCCACGCCCAGGTCTACCACATTGGCCGCACAATGGCCATGATCAAGGGCCGCATGACAAGTGAGGACGGCAAGACGGTGTACGCAACATGTCATGGTGGCCATGGCGACGCCAGCACACCAGCTGGCCCATCGCGTGAAATGGGATGAGCAGTGGGAAGCTGAAAAGGAAATCCAGGAGGCCAAGGACGGCAATATTTCCAAGTTATGATGCCGAGAAAGAGAGACGATCAACATTTCTTGGACTGTGCAACAGATCATTGCGTACAATCATGGAGACTTTACATACAAATGACCAAATCGCCAACGGTTTTCGTTTCGTAGGTTCGTCCAAATTGGCCGCCGGAATAAGACGCCATTCGTATGGCCACCGCATAAAGACGTACAGAGAAAAAAGAAACAAAGCACAAGGCGTGCTACCAATAATGCAAAATCAAAAAAAAAAAAAAATCCAAGATCAACTGCCGGTTAAAACCATCCGACCATAACGCCAACTAAAGGAGAGAAAATAAGGTCATGCCCAAAAGACCGCGTTCGCAACATGTCACGCGTAATTCTCGTGTATGCCCGCCATAACTGTGTGATTATAATCGGATACACACGTCAAGGCAGTCGATATGCCACTCTCGCCGGCCCAGCAGACTCCTCAGCCACTCCATACCGATGCCCGTCCACTCCGCCTTGGTCTGCACCAACTGCTCGACCGCCGATCCAGCTACTGTCGACACCGTCGAATTCGCCAGCTCCACCGCCATGGAAACTGTCTCGTGAAGGTCGTCCATAACTGACATCGTGCCGTTGGTGGCGGACGTGGCCGCTGCTGCCACATGTCCAGTGTGGTTCTGGCAGTTGGTGCAACCTCCACTGGCACCCACGGCACCGATGGTTGTCCGTGGCTCAAACCAATTGCTGCCAAAATCGAAGAAGCACCGGTCGGACCAGTTACAGCTGGTCAGGAAGAGGATGAGGAGCAAAAAGGAGCAGTAAACGCATGGCCGGTTCAAAAAGTATGTGCAGACGAAGAAGAGGAAGATGAAGGTCGGTGAGGCATTGGTCGGGATAAAGAGGAGCGGGAGCCAGCTACGTACGGTCTGGTCAGCAACGAAAACTCAACGTAACGGCAAAATGCCAGCTTCAAACACCAGAGATTGGCTTACCTCCGTAAACAGAACATGATGGCAATGTAGTGGAAGAGCGCGTGGCACTCCGAGCGCCGCAACAAAGGGGGGAAGGTTAAAGAGGGTGCCAGCCGTTTGTCGGCCGATAGTCGGTCCACGCAGTAGTTCGTTGCAACAAAGGCAAAACCGGGAATCGGAGGGAATGAGATCGTTCGTTCGGCGTGATGTCGTGGCAGCAAACAGATCTGTTTGGAAGCCTTCTTTGTGCGGACACGGGATAGCAGACCACTGTTCGTTGGAAGGATCTGTGCAAAGGCATTCAGCAAGCAGACTACTGCAGTACCTTGTGCCGTGATGGACGGGGGGGGGGGGGGGGGTGGGGTCGTGGTAAGTACAGGACTTTAGAAAGCTGGCGGCCGTGATGATGTCTTGCGAGCAAGAGGAACGACGACCGAACAGTGGCGTGGACAGGAACTATTGGGGTCTGTTAGGCTAGCTAGCTCGTCAGTTACATAATCAGAAATGCCGCTAAGCACAGTGCACATTCACAAGGTCAAAGCTGCAGCTGCCAGCCAAAAAGTTCGTCCCAAAACAGCTCACAAACGGAAAGAGCAAAGCATGCTCGGACGTAAAGAAGGACTTCATCCTCGAAATGGGCTTTCTTTCTAAAATCACATTAACGAATAAAAAACCACGTCGTTTTATTGTCCTTACACGCCGAAAATAGCATATGAGCATGAGGCACAGTTCGCATAGTGTCGCAATACTGTATGCCAGATCGTCTCCTTGCCAGCACACTGATAGGCGATAAGTGCCCAACAACGAAGCTCTGGTCTCGATTTGGAAGGCACTTGGCACGGGACAAGAAGGTCCCAACGCGCTGTCGTTCAGTCGTTCCTGCCCCCGAGCCTAACCCAGAAAAATTTAACAGCTCCTTCTCACCCCAGAAACCTAAGACAACAAGCGCCAAAAACAAAGACACATACCCCCGACAAGCATTTTTGCGTCTTTGCCATCAACCTCTTGTTCTCTTTCTGCACACCTCGCACACAGCTCGCATCTCGCATCTCGCCATACGCACGCCTCGTCACAGCTGTCACGCATCGTTGCCCGGGTTTTATTACCGGGCCGCGTTACATTGCTAGAGGCTTGTTCGGTGTTTTCGCGGCCTGCTTCGTTTGACTGAAGTCGTCGCCTTTTTTTTTCTTTCGTTATCATTTCCGCCTTTTCATTTTCGAGCTTGCTTGATTTGTTCGCATTGCTTTCGCGGCAGTCTTCCTTCTCTACTTTATTGCACTGCTTCTCAGGTCACGTTCAATTTCATCTGTTGTACGTCTGTTTCGTTTTGCTCTCAAGTCGACATCAGATACCGGCCCACTGCGCGACACACCGACCTGCTCTGTCTAGACTTTTCCGGTGGCAGCTCTCGCTGTAATCCCCTATCCAACCTCTCCTTTTTTCCAACCCCTGCGGGCACACGTCCGTCATCGCCATGTCGAACGAGGGCGGTGAGGACAGCCAGGCCCCCGGCCCTGGTATTGAGTCACTACTTGCCCAGCTACGCCGCAAGTCCGACCAGGACTCGGCTCCTGGCCACTCTAACGACCTCCTCTCCCATTTCACCTCGACGATCCAGCACCGCCCGGCCGCCGAACAGTACTACCCTCAGCAGCAGCAGCATTCTGATTCGCCGCCGAACGGCAACGGTCAAGCTTTTGGGAACAGTGGCCTGCCCCAGGTGCCTGGCCACTTCCAGCCTTCGCTTTCCTCGAACCTTCCCTCTGCTCCGACGCCCCCCGTTGGTGGCAGTTTCCCGAATGCCCAGTTCCCTCCGTCGCTTCTTGGCTCAATCGGCTCCGGCCGTCCCACCAATAACGATCGGGCGACAAGTTCGCATCTGCTGAATCTGCTCAAATTCAGCGGTCATTCGAACCCGCCGCTGAGCAGCGGTCTCTCTCAGACGGCCAGCATTCCTCAGCATCATGACAGCGAGTCCGAGGCGGCCCAACAGAAGCAGCAACACACTCCCACTGTGGCACTGTCGTCGGGCACGATCCATGCACCGGCACCGGCGCCATCTGACCCAACTGGCCTTCTCGCAGCTCTAATGCAGGGCACGCTGAAGGACGAGTCGTCTAAGCCAGAGCCTGCCGCCGCCGCAGACAACGCACCGCAGCAGACGCAGCAGCAGTCCACGCCGTGGACATCGACGTCTCAGTCAAGTGAGACGCAGCAGTACCTGCTCAATCTGCTCAACCGCCCGAAACCCAGCCAAAACGACGAGGCGATTTCGGCTGAGTCGCCGAATAACGTTCGGCTGACGCCCAACTCAGCGCAGCAGCAGAAGAAGGACTACGAGGTGTTTGATGATGTGGCACCGTCTTCGACGGGCTCGCCCGCGACGCTGGCTATACCGCCGTCCACGAATGTGTTCGACTACCAAGTCAAGGGCTCTGAGGCCGGCGATGGATACTCGCCCGTGCCCAAGTCGTCCATGTTCCACCACCACGACCCCTTTGACGGCCTGGTGACTTCACCTCCTGTCGGCGCCACACCGAAGTCGTCCACGACCGCCGGCCCTGGTAGCGTCCACTCGCCAGCACAGTCCACCACGTCCGCTCCCAAGCCGGTGCAGATCCTTAGGAAACCTGCGTCTAACGCGGGCAAGACGAGCAAACCCTCGAGTGCCGAGCCCAGTCCCGCCGGTAGCCCCAGTGTTTCCAAAAGTAAGCACGATGGCCCGACGTCGCACCTGGCCATTCACCCCTCGGCTGCTGCAGCCACGGTTGTTGAGGAAGCGGCCAATGAGCCGGAGGAGGAAGGTGCTGGCGATAGCGACGCCAAGTACGAGCAGGACCCCGACGCCGAAGGTGCTGAGAGCGACTTCAAAGATGACAACGATCCCTACGCAGAGACCACCCACGACTCTGCCAACCAGTCGAGCGACGACACTAAGGATGACATCGAGTCTACCCAGGAGGCTGTCGTCCGCGAAGAGATTGCCATGGATCTCGACGATATGGAGCATGCCAAGACGGAGGAAGAGTTTCACGCTGCTGCCAAGGCCGCTGGCCGGGCTATTCAGGAAGAGCTCAACCGTGAGGGTGGCAAAGGCAATGCTCTCGACGACAATTTGCCCCGTGACCTGGCGAACGCTGTTCGGGACATTGTCGATGAGGCTGCCCACGGAACTGTCGCCGACAGCTGGGAAAGTGCTGACGCTGAAGGCGAGGAAATCATTGTCGTGGAAGAGCTGCAGGTTCCCGTCCGGGTGTATAACTTTCCCATGCGTCCATTCATCTCCATCGATGTCCAGGATGATGATAAGGACAACCGCCCGATTTTCCGTGACGAGTCCATCCTAGATATTGCCCGTCTGAAGAAGGACTTTGACCAGATCGACCGGAATCTCGTGACAGCTTCTGAGAACTACATGGCCTACGGCATGTCCAAGGCCGGCGGTCTACGTGTCATTCGGCAGACAGATGGCAGAGATGTCAAGCTGTTTACCGACACCAAGGACCGTATCTTCAATGTCGCCATGTCCTTTAACAACGAAGAGGGTGTTGTCGCCCCCAAGGACTCCGTTATCGGTACAGGTGTCAGCGGGACCGTGTACTGGGTGCAAATTCGTGACGGCGATAAGGATCACCTGGACTACACCACCCCTGAGCTATGCGGCTTTGCCTTGCCGCCCATCCTGTCGCATGAAGGCGACGCACCCGGTGGTGTGCTTAAGACTCGTGCACGCACTTCATCTGCCCACCCAGAATACTTTGCCGTTGGCCGCGGCAAGTCCATCAACATTGTTTGGCCTGGCTTTGTCATGCGCAACAACCTGCTGCTGCCTGGCCACGACCGCGTTGTCGATACGGAGAAGTTGTCCAAGCAGTGCTCTCTGAAGATTAGCACTGGTAAGGCCGGCAAGGATTTTACCTTCAGCCAGGACGACACCGTCGTCGTGTCCCTCGACAAGTCGGGCCGCGTCAAGTTCTGGGACGTCCGCGACCTCACTGCGGCACGCTCTGACGGCTCCGCCAACCCCATGCCCGCCCACACCTCCTTGGAGGTGAAGGAGCCTCTCCTGACTCTGACCACAACACCCGAGGGCGAGAAGGCCTGGCCTACATCTGTGCTGCTGCTGGATAAGTTGCGGCCGTACCAGAAGCGGTGTGCCCTGCGTTACATGATTGTGGGTATGAAGCAGAATCATACGCTTCAGCTCTGGGACTTGGCCCTCGGCAAGCCTGTGCAGGAGTTCAATCTGCCGCACAGCAAAGAGTCGGACGCCGTCTGTAGCGTCATGTACCACCCACCGACAGGAATGATTGTCGTCGGCCACCCAACCCGCAACTCAATCTATTTCTTACACCTCTCGGCGCCAAAGTACGCGGTGAAAAACATGACCCAGGTCGAGTACATTGAGCGCTTGACGACTCAAGACTCCTCCATCCCGCAGCCTGAGTCTACCGCCGTGATCAGTGGCCTGCGCGAGTACTCGTTGTCGAACCGCGGCGCCCTGCGCAGCTTAGATATCCTAGAAAACCCCGCCGCCAGTGCCGACCCGAACAATCCGACATTGTTTGAGCTCTATGCGATGCACTCAAAGGGCGTCAGCTGCATCTTTATCCACCAAGCTGAGCTGGGCTGGACAAAGGACAACAAGGTCCTCCAACCTGTCGATGCGGTTGAGTCTGGGAAAGTTAAAATTGGTAAGCTGAAAACGCCTCAGCAGCTTGCAGCGCCAGCCGCCGAGCTTCATATCGCCGATGGCAGCACGCTTGCTGGCCAGCAGCAGGGACCCCGCATCCTTGCTTCCCGCTCCGCGGCCAAGGAACTCTTCCAGGACCGCGACAGCCCGGTCCAAGACACCCCAACCCGCAAGCCTATGGGCTCGTCACTCAACTCGAAGCTACGGGCGGAGCCGAAAGACGAAGACACCGTTGGCCACCCGCAGCCATCTTCTACACCTTCTACTGATAAGGCAGAGAAGAAAAGCCGGAAGAAGAAGGCTGCTGCCGCCGCCAACAATGGCGCGTCGCCTGCTGCTGCTGTTGCCGCTGGTGCAGCTGCGATTTCTGCCGGTGGTCAGGCCAATCGCGAGGTCCAGAACACGCCGAACGGAAACAACAAGCCCCCGGTTTCTGCCTCGGGCGATGCACTGCCCAAGTCCACCCTCAACGTCAGCCAGGATGCTATCGACACCCGAATTAACACAATGGAGGCCCGCATCTGCGAACGAGTCTCAAGCTCCGTCCACGTTGCGTTTGACGATATGCGCAAGAGCATTGACCAGCAGTTCCGCCTTCGTGATGCGGACTTTGAGAACAAGCAGCGCAAATTGCTCGATATGGTGTCCAATGTTCTAAACAGTAACACCGAGCAGGTGCTAAGCAAGATTGTCCGCGAGGAGTTTGACAAGTCTGTCGTTCCTGTCCTGCGTGATGATGTGGCTCGGTCGGTCTCGGACAGTCTTGGCACGCGAATCAATACCCAGGTGTCATCTGTTCTGCAGAAGGAGCTGCAGCGTATTCTGCCCGCCCAGGTGACCAATAGTTTGCGGAGCCAGGAGGTGTCGAAAGCCATCAGCGAGAAGGTTGTCCACGCCATTGCCAATCATGTTGACGACCAGTTCTCCAAGGTTGTGGAGAGCGACCTGTTGCCGACCATCTCCTCTATTTCAGCCCAGGCGGCCAAGACCATCACGACGGCTGTTGCACGCGACATTGTGCAAAACGCGTCGGAGTCTGTGGCCCTGCAGCAGAAGGCTGCTGCTCAAATTAGCGAGTTGGAGCGGTTGCATGCTACGCAAAGCAGAAAGATTGACTCTCTCCTGTCGCTCGTGACACACCTGACCGAGACGGTGGCGACCATGGCTACGGCACAGTCGGAATACCAGAGCCAGATTGCTAAGTTGCAAGGTCATGTCACGTCACCTCCGGCCCCAGCGCCGCAGTCAATCCCTCAGACCGGTTCGGCGGCGTCATACTCGTCCCAGCAGCCACAGCAGCGCTCACCCCTCCAGCAGCATCAACATCAACATCACGTGCCTCAACCTCACCAACAGCAACTCCGGGTTCAGCAGCAGCCGCACGCTCCGCAGCAGCCGCATCAGCATGCTCCTCAGCACGGCCACCAGCATGGCGGCTATGAGGGCGGTGTGCAGCAGCAGCAGCAGCAGCAGCCGTTCCGCAACATCACTAACCGGGTGACTGAACAACTTCCCGGTGTTGGCCTGTCTCCGTCGCAGCACTCCAGTTCCAGCCAGCAGCTCCAGCATCAGCTTCACCAACAGCAGCTGCAGCTCCAACAGCAGCAGATCCAGCAACAGCAGCAGCTCAGGGAGCAGCAGCAGCAGCAGCAGCAACAGCAACAGCAGCAACAGCAGCAACATGTTCTGTACGCACCCCAGGCACAGGAGGATCTGGAGCGCGAGGAAGTTGAACAGATTGCTGGCCACATTGAGAGCCTGATCCAGGGCGGCAAGCACGATGACGCTATGATGCGCTGGCTGCAGAGCAATGGGAAGGAAGAGCAGCTATTCCGCCGTGTTCTCGTGAACCACTCGCCGGAGATCATCAGCAACCTGCAGCCGCTTGTTCTCCTTTCTGTTGGTACTACAGTTACCCAGGACCTCGATGATCATTTGGTGGTGCAGAAGCTGGCGTGGGTGGAGATGGTGCTTCTTAATCTGCACCAGGTCGTCAACCAGCTGGTGAGTTTTTTGCGCTGCGACCTTTCATATATCTTGTTTAGCTTTACACATGAGTTTCTAACATTTTCCAGGATGACCAAACGCGCGAGATTACGCCGAACGTGCTCATGCATATCCGCGCCCGTCTCGAGCAGACGCAGATTCGCATCGCCCGGGTGTCGCACGACGAGTCCAACTACAAGAACATTACGCGTATGATTGGCATCATCAACCGCCTGGTCGACGTCACCAAGCCGCGAATTGCGTTTTAGGCAAAAGCAATTGAGGATGGAAGGTCGTCCAGAGCGACGATTCGCGGCCCGTCGGAGACCCTTGTTGAATCCACTCCGGGGCCATCAGCTGGTATACTTGTACCGCGGGCATCGTCGACTTTCAGCGTTGCAAGAGTTCCTCCAAGCGTCCGGCCCATGATCCTCGACGATCGACCTGGAATCCCGCTGCCGAGGATGTATGTCTATATGTGAAAGGTGGGAAAGCTGCGGCAGGACAGTAGTTCCCAAACGGGTCCAGAAAGGGGCGTTGGGCTGCTACACCGGCCTAACTTTGGACGAGACAGAGGAGAGAGAGAGACAACGAGGTATTGCATTATCCCGTCTTGCTGTCTGAAAAGAGAGCATGGATAGTGGCACTCTCTTTTTGTTTTGTATGTTTCCGTTTTTGCTTTGTGTTTCGTTCTCCATTGCGTGGCACGGAAAGGTATTGTTTGTTTTTGCTACTTTATTTTGCCTGCCTTGTCCGCTGTATCGATTATTTGCCTTGTATTTGCTTGTCTGCTTCATCTGCTTTATTTGTTGTATCGTTTCCTACATCTTACATTCTTCTCTCGACGCCGCGGAGGCTCTCGAGATTTTCGTTTTAAGGAACGTAATTTTATTTAGTTAAATTAACGAAGGAAATCAAAAAGTAATGTGTACATTTAACTAAAATACGTTGTAAAATGAAATAAAAAATGCATGTCAACATACACAGGTAAAAGAACTTGCTGTTTCTACTATGACTGAAACTTAATTACGACGTAATAGCTCCTCTACCAATGTGTTTGACCGATAAGGCCTTATCGGAGCCTTTCGCAGCTAAGGTTTTGGCACTACAGAAAAAAAAAGTTAACATAGCCCAGGAGAGTCAATGTGCCACTTGCGCCCTTCTTGTTCTGCGACTTCAGCCCCCAGTAAACGGAAGCAGATTGGCACTCAAACGGACGAAAGACAGACCTTTACTGACTCGTCTGCCCTCTGCCATGGCGTCTGTGATCCAGCCCAACGCCTGGATCGGGCTCAAGCTGCCGTCTGAGAATGTGCGCTTTCTTCGTATTGCACCCAATACGTGAGTTTTTTCTGGAATTTTCCTGTCCTTTCGGCAGTCCGATTCTGACTCAGATGTTCACAGTACAATTTCACTCGGAAAATATGGCTCGTTCCCAAGCAATCTCATCATCCACCGTCCCTACCACCTGACCTACGAGCTCCTCGACAAGCGCGACGACGAACCGTTTAGCCGCCTGCGCGTGATCCCGACAGACGAGCTGTATGCCGACGTCTTTGCTGATGAGGCACAGGCTGCTGCATCGGCCATGGATGCGGCACGCGGCGGGACGGGTGATGAGGCGGACGCCGATGGCGAGGTGGAGAACGGCGTGGACGGAGGCGGCGATGGCGATTTTACGGGGCTGGGCGACGACGCCGGTACGTCGAGCGTCGAGTACACCCTCGTTGACATGGAGAGCCAGGCCGTGATTGCGCGCTCCAACCGCGCGACGATCGACGCCGACGCGCGCCAGACGCTGACCACGGACGAGATCGAGGCCCTGAAGCGGGAGGGTACGGGGGCCGGCCGCGACCTCATTGCCAAGCTGCTGCTGTCGCACGCGGCCCTCGACCAGAAGACGGCCTTTTCGCTTGCCAAGTACAAGCTGCTCAAGACGAAAAAGTACATTCGACGGTTCACGGTGCTTCCGCTCGATGTGTACACGCTGGGCAACTGGCTGCTGGACGACAAGGATGTGGGCAACAAGATTATGGACTTGCGCGACGAGATGGTGGCGCTGCTGGGCTGTTGGGCGAATGTGCACTACGGCGGACCGTCGCGGTATCTGCAGGCACCGCCGGCGATGGCCCCTGCAGAGACGGCGGAGACGGCCGCTTCTAAAACGGGCGACGAAGAAGAGACAGTTATGGTCGATGCGCAACCGCTAGTGACCGATGCCAAGGCCGAAGGGGTTGCTGCCGCAGCAGCGGCAGACGAAGACGAATCGTTATTAGACCAGCCGCCCAACTTGCTTCCGGAAGACATTGGCTCCTTTTTGGGCGGCGGCCGCTGGCTGGCTGTGGACGATACTGGAGGGCTGCTCATCGCGGCGCTTGCAGAACGGATGGGGATTCTGACGAACCCCGAGGAGGACGATGATGTGGAGCACGAGCAGAAGGAGACGAAAAAGGAAACCACAGATGCAAATACAGTATTAGGAACAACAAGCGACGATAAGGATGGTGTGCCGGAGGACGCGGATGCGACGGCAGGGGACGACGCGGGCAGCGCGGAAGAGGATGCAGCGCAACACGACCAACTCGAGCGCCGGCCAAAACGGCCCGCAAAACGTGCCCGTGACGACTTCCATGTCTCCTTCTCCCTCGCCAACACCATCACCCTGCTGCACTCCAACAACCAGGCCAACCTCACCTACCTCAAGTACTTTGGCTACGACTATGCCGACCCCCATCACCCGCCGCACCCGCTCAACGACCACTTGCTGTGCTTGTCCTGGCTGCAGCTGCTCGAGCCCGAGAGCGACACCGTCTACGCCCAGGCGCCACCCATCCAGCCCGCCGACGTCGTTGCGTCCTGGAAGCCCGCGCGGCGTGGCAACTACCACCGCAAGCGCCGGCGGTGGGCCCGTACCCGCCACATTGTCGACACGACGCGGGTCGGCGGCTTTTCTGGTCTCGTCGTGGCCACGTCCATGGACCTCATCTCGACGCTACGCCACGCTCTGCCGCTCCTGGCCAGCGGCGCCCCCGTGGCCGTCTACTCGCCCAGCCTGGAGCCGCTGACGGCGCTGGCCGACTGTTTCAGTGTCCTGCGGCGCACCGCCTGGTCGGGCCCTGACCCGCCCATCTCCATCCAGGGCAAGACCGTCGAGGAGCTCGAGACATGGCCTGGCGATGACGACTTCCCGCTCAACCCGATGCTCCTGCTGGGCGTGACGGTGCAGACGAGCCGCGTGCGCAAGTGGCAGGTGCTGCCGGGCCGGACGCACCCCGTCATGACGGCACGCGGTGGCGCCGAGGGCTACATCTTTACGGGCTGGAAGGCAAAACCGGCCGAGGGCCGCGTGACGGCACGCGGCAAGTTCAAGAAGCGCAAGACGGGCGAGAGGGAGTGACGGGAAGGTCGATGCGATTGGAAAGGGGCTGCTTACGTTCGCGTATGCTTTTTTGAATCTGTCTCGATACGAATGGGGTTGGCTGCATGCTTAGAAACAAACAGTAAATCAAAGGCGGGCCGCACTGGCATAGCTGTGTCATAATGCAATTTTGAATATATTTTTTCTGTTCTTCAGGCTGACGTGTTTGAGCTGCCCTGCTCATTGTCCACAAGTTATGTACCACGCAACATCCCGCCGAACCCAGCTCCATCGTATCCTTGCGTCCCTGCCACGCTTGCCTCCCTTACAGACCCTTGCCCATAAACTTCCGCTTTGTAAAGCTCAGCCACCACTTGCTCGGCTTGCCGTCACCGCCCTCCTCGTACACCCGCGCCAGCAGCCGCTGCGCCAGCTCCTGCCGCACCTGCGCCATGTACTGCCGCAGCAGCTCCGAGTCCTGCCGGTCTCGTGGTGGCTCGTACATCTGGTTCAGCGGGAATCCCGGGTCGCCCGGGATCGCAAAGTTGGTGTCCAGCGCCAGGTTGGTCACGTCCTTGGTCGCATCGCGCACACTGGCCGTCGGCTTGATCTTGGAGAGGCAGTCGCTGACGAACCAGATGCCGTACACCAGCAGTCGGTCTGCGGGGCCCTGGATCTCAAAGTTGCGGAAGAACGTGTTGGCCCGAAACAGGGCAATCACCTCGTCCAGGATGTCGTAGCTCTCGCTGTCCGGGTCCGGCGACTCGTTGGCCGGCAGCGGCGGGTTCGGGAAGGGGAGCGTGTACGCGGGGCCGCGGGCCTTGGTGCGCAGGGGCAGCAGGGGAAAGTTGCCCACGAGCCGGCCCTGCGCGACCGACGGGTCGTTGTTGAAGATGGAGTTGTAGGCCTGCCGTGTGTTAGTCGCCAAGTTTGCCTTGTGCATCAACGTGCATCGCATCGCGATCATGAAGAGCGGCTTGGAGAGCGTCGCCGCGCCCCCGCCAAGGTGGGAAGCCCGCTGCTTACCGGCATTGCGACTGAAATTGCTGCAATAAACAGTCACAGACGACAAACGAGAAGCCGAGAAAAAAAGCCCGCTGCAACTCGGCTTGGGCAAACGGGATGGTCGTGTGAGTGAGCAGCCGACGTTGAAGAGGGGGGGCGATACCAAGCTTCGCGCAAAAGGTGGCTTGGACCTGCTGTGACGACGCCTGCCAGGCTCCGAACAGCACACTTCGGCCCTTAGCCCCACCATCCCATCCCGCCGCCCGCTGTGGGCGTTACTTTGGAACTTCGTCGGCTTATGTAATTATGTGCCACATAAGTCAGGCACAAATCTCTCCGCCTTTCGTGGCTGCCTGGATGAAGTGGGACTAATTCAGTGGCTGGGAAGGACTAGATGACTCATCGAAACGGCTAAACATGGCTTATTCAGTGGTTCACGCCTTGGTATAGTCACGTGCTTACGTGGAATTTTCGCTCAACCATTCTCCCCCCCTCACCCTCCTCTTGCCTCTTTGTCAGGATAAAGTAGTGCGTGCCCACCCACCGTCCCCCTCCCTGAAAGCGATCCCTTGCTGCAGCCAACCGCGAAGCGCGCGCCCTTCGCTCTTTCCCTCCCGCCACCAGACCGCGTTGGTCGTTGCTGCCACATTCTTCGTTTCATCCGCGCTGCCGCCTGACGAAAAGGCGACAAGGCGAAATCTCATTTTCGGCTCCTTCACTTTTTTTTTTCATCTCAATATTTACCACGAACATACTGCTTCCGGAGCCTCAAAAGTTCTGCTTTTCTTTGTCTCGTTGTCTCACCTGTCGACGTTTTCTTTTGGCGCTTAGACCCCTCCCCAACACTTTAGCTGAGTGATCACCACCCGTCCATTTGTTCGCGCTTTGGCCGCATTGGGCGTGTGC